AAATTAATTTCTGCAACATAGGAGATTACTGGAAATAAACCGCTTACTCTTGCAGAGACAAAACACATGACACTAACAAAGAGTTTCTGTTTGCACGTGTAATGGACTGCAGTGCCTTAAACAGAATTCAAGGACTTAAAACCTGCCTTCTCCTTTAGAAGTGTAGTTTGCCTTCAGTGACAATTTATATGGATTTGAACAATCTGTTTGTTTGCAGAAGGGTTTTTTTGTGTGTGTGTATAGTTCTCTCTCAGAGAGGAGAGGACAGGGAGCTTAACCAGGTGTGCTTAAATAACAAGGTGTCAGAAAAATAACTGCAAAAGGCTGAAGTGTAAATCCGTGAGGCCCCCTGATGATAAGTTCGTAATGTTATCAATAGATGACTCTGTGATTAAGTATTTTTCAGTGAGGGGTCAGGTTACATGTCAGACATATTTGAAAGATTTGAGGTTGAGTAATTTTCAGAACAGAAATAATGTCTTGGAGAAAATGGGAGGGGTGGCTTTATCCCACTTTATCCCATCATATCCCATATTAGCAGAAAATGAAAAAGATAGATTAGGTAAATTGAGGGAGGAGGGGGTAGATTCTGTGTGCTTTTTGGAATAAAACCAAACAATTTAATAAGTTTGATGTGTAAATCTGTCTTACACATAAAGATCGATCATTTTATACACAATATGGTGAGCTGATGTTTCTAGGAAAAAAATTTGGTTAAAAATGTAGTGAATTTAGCTCACTACATCATAGTAGTGAGACTAATAATGGTAAAATAAAAGGTAAAATGACAGAAAAACTCACACTACAGATCAACCGAACATAGACACTTTTGGTTTTGTTTTAATGGGAAATATTTATCCAGTAAAATAACAAAGGAACAGTAGCACATCAGTGCGTAATAGCACAACATTATTCTTAACCGTCTAAAGGTAAAACACCTCAGAATCTGTCATTGTGTACATATGCACTAAAGAGTCTGTAATTTGTCTGTGTCCATTTGCATGACCAGAGCCTTACTTTCTGATTCCAGAGAAAAAGAAAAATAAAAGCACTATTTTATTCCAGTCTTTTTTCACTCTTTATCTTTTGGAAGTAGCAGCTTTCATACTAATACACAGTATAGGGGGTCTCAAACAAACTCTCAATCTTCATCCAGGTAACTCCCTAGTCTCTGAATACAGTGAATGCAAACAGACTTTCTGCAATAGGAAGTTTAGAGCATCTAAGCCAGACACTCAACATAGATTGCATACAGGGTGCATGCAAGTGTAGCTATGACAACACATCAGTTTTGTAGGTGTATTATCTAAATGCTTCTGTTAATTTTCCTATTGAAATAATATCTATTATTACAGGAAATGGTGTCTGCTCACTGAACTCTTGCCACCTGATAGGTTTTACATCTGAATTCTTCTTAGATGTTTTAGGAGAAAAAAACAAACAACAACAACAAAACCCCACACAATTCCTATCGCCTTGGGAAGCAATGCCACCAGCAGACGTGGTGAGAGAGATGGTGATTGCAGCCTAAGCGTGAGGCAGTGCTGCCTCAGAGCACTGCACTGCTCAGGGCACTCAGGGACTGCAAGGCCTCAGGGACTGCAAATTCTGGCCCCTTGGGACATAAGGACTTTGGGGACAGCAGGGCCCTGGGGATGACAGACTCATATGAACACAATGAGAATTTCTGTGCAACACTAGTTTTGCAGGTGGTTTATACCTTTGTCGTACAGGAAAAATTAAGTAGCATGGGAATCTCTCCACAACACACACAGCAATTCACCAAGGTTTTAGATGTGTCCTTTACCATTTCAGATCTTTTCTACTCTAGTTAAACTGAAGATAACAACAGTACTAAGGCAAATACTGTCAGGACAAATTCCTACAAACCTCTTGACTTTAAACAAAGATGTCAACAGTGATTTTACTTGCTGAAGATTTTGGGGATGCTCATGTTAAGATGCCTTTTCTAAAGACCAAGTCAACGGCAATATAGCCTGTAGCAGTATATGATGGTTCAACAAATGATCAGCAGCTCTCATAATATGCCTTTTCTTTTTAATGGGATTGATCCGAAAGGACAGTAGGTGTTATGGAAGTGAGAACTGTCATTGCCTTCCGTTGCCAGAAATGGAAGTCTACTTTTCAATACATTTGAAGATCTCACGGTCTTAGCACTGGATTGAGGGATGTAAGTGGATAGGAAAGCATCTGAGCTGGGAGGGAAACTCTGCTCTGGAGCTCACTATCATTGCTTTTTGAGAGCCTCACACCAGAAATACACTGCAGCATATGATTCAAATGATTTTATTCTCAGAGGTAGGCAAGATTTTTTTGCATGTAAATAACAACAACAGCTACATCAAAATGTTACCAGGCAACTGTTATTGCCGTTATAATTTGGACAGCCTAGGGCTACCCGTGACCATAATATATTTTGCAGAAACCTGCTCAGGGTGGTGAGCAGTCTCCCAAGCCCCTCCAGAACTCAGTCCTGTGTCTTCTGAGCAACTTCTGTTGCTTTTAGTTTTGGCAGTCGAGTGGGAAGATTGTTTTAGTAAGATTACTAGGGACAGACATAGTAAGAAAGAACCAAAGTGCTATTGTTAGTGCTCTTGCAGTCCTGGCATTTTAAGTTTTCTGACTATAGTATGGAAGTAGAAATCAGAGGTGCAGTTCACCTGTAGAAAAAAAGGATTATAAATTTTACAGGTGTAGAGTTGGCTGAAGTCAGTTTAGAGTCTAGCATACCATTTTAGTCATCCTCACTCAAGAAATAGGCCTGAAAATCATAAAATAGAATCACAGAATCATTATGGTTGGAAAAACCTTCAATATCGAGTCCATCCGTAAGCCCCTCGACACCATACCTGTTAAACCATGTCCCTAAGCACCTCATCTGCATGTGTCTTGAACACTGCCAGGGACTGTGACTCCACCACTTCCCTGGGCAGCCTGTTCCGATGCTTGACTGCTCTTTCAGTGTAGAAATTTTTCCTAATATCCAATCTGAACCTCTGCTGGTGCAACTTGAGGCCATTTCTCTTTGTCCTATAGGTAGTTATTTTGGAGAAGAGCTCGACCCCCACCACACTACAACCTCCTTTCAGGTAGCTATAGAGCGTGATAAAGTCACCCCTGAGCCTCCTCTGCTCCAGACTAAACAACCCAGCTCCCTCCGCCGCTCCTCCTAGGATCTGTGCTCCAGCTCCTTTACCAGCTTCGTTGCCCTTCTTTCAATACATGAAGAAATGAAGAGCAATTAAATAAAAATGCGGAAACACTGTATGTGAAAACAGATTGCAGAAAGTTTTTCTCTCTTCCATATCTATTTTGTCACTCTAAATTTCCTTTTTGGGTAAAGGGCAGGTTCTGTTTATAAGCATCTCTAAGTGAAACTTGTCTCTAAGTGAAATTGCCATGTTGTCCAGGAAAAAAGAAACCATCCTTGCCCTGGACCTTTCCAGATTTAATATTCTGTGCATATTCTTCCTTGAAAAAAAGCTAACTTTGAGTTTAGCACAAATCTTTCCATTCGTAAGCAGATGATCAAGTTTTTTGAATACCAAGTCTATTTTGATCCTTGAGCCTTCCTCTACAAAAACACTTTTTTTTTTCTCCCTCTCAGACTTTTTAGTCCAATGTTTGTTAGGCATCTTGTGGTATTTTAATGACTCTATGAACTGCCAGTACAAGATTCCCTCCAACAGTCACCAAACAACCAACACTTTGGTTACTAGAAACAAGAAATTAATCATCATGCATTATGATAATTTCCTCTTCTTTTTCTTTATTTCCACGTATGCCTTATTTAAAATGGTTTCCTAATTATTCTTCAGCAAAGATAAAGAGTTTCATTTCTCTCATTAAAACAACAGTGTAATACAGAAATTTCTGTCCCCTGACCACTACAGCTGCTTAATAAACTCATTGAGCCTACCTGAAGTCTTTGAAATCCAAAGAAATTGAGGATATATTGGATTCCATGGTACGGGTCACTGTAAGGTTTCCAGCAGCTAATCTGCAGGAAACATACATTGTAACTCACAGTCTGTGACATGTGCAACAAATATCACACATCTCTTTCTAAATTGCCTGCTTTTTTTTTTATTGACTTTTATTGACTTTCCAAGACTTCCCATATGTGTAAAGTAAAATGGCAATAGACTAATTCTAACTATGTTCAATGGCTAGAAAAGAAGTGATTTCTTTCCTCAGAATATAGATTAATATTATAAGTCCGAATCTCTGTCCGTCATGACTTTAGACACTGAAAATGTTAGAAGTAGAATTAGTATTGAAATTAGAATATAGTTCAGAAAAAGGAATTGCTTCTACACGTGTGGATTCTGCCCTCATGTATATTCACCTTACCAGCAAATTTCATTCAGAAATACTCCTTATACAGTGTAGTTCCTGATACAGATACACACAGAAAGGCAGAGATAGGACAGAGATACCCTTGTACTTGTTGCCTTTTGCAGAGAAAAGGGCTGTTGCATGTTGGGTTAGTAGCCAGCTGCTCATACTTTCAACATGAACATACCCAATTTCAGTGAATTGGGGAGCTCGCTCTGTCTTTATCTTTTTGTTGGACCCGCTGTTTCAAACGAGGAGCAAGTCACCCTCCCTCCTAACTATTCTAAAAGAGAATGTCATCCAGATTTTCTAACAGAGAGTTCTCTTAACCTTGAACACATACCCTGGCATGCACACATACACAAACACAAAAGGAAAGAGATTTCTCATGCAACTTCCAGTTGATGGTAGAATTACAAGATAAGTTAAAAAATCAAACCATGGAAATGTCATAACCCAAATATAATCTATTCCAGTAACATCAGCTGCTCCAGAAAGCCTGTGAGAAGAAAATTCAGCACATGAGGACTCTGAATGGTTTCATGGTTTTCAGTGTCAGTTATTGTTCCTTCAAATGTAGCCTGATGTACTTTTCTTTTCCTTTGCAGAATTTCCTACTGATATATCTAGACCTTGCCTTTCTTACCATGAAGGCCTCAGTCATTGCAGCCTTTTTTGGTAAGTACACCTGATCTGCTATATATATATGAGCTCGAGTGGAGCTAGGCCAAGGATCCCTGTAAAATAACAATATCACTTTAAGATTGCGAGTCTGCATACTTCACACTTGGGAAACATTCATTCTCTGTTTTATTCTGAGTTGTCCAAGAATGCAGGGCTTTCCATGACCAAGGAGTGCCAAAGTAAGTTTGCAATAAGCCAAGCAGGATTTCTTTATATACTTCTGTATCTCTCTTTGACAAAGGTACAGTCACCATGTAACCTAGCTGTGCTGTCTGGCTTTTATTTCAATGTTCCCATGCAATATTCCCTCTAGCTGGAACCCTCAAAACTTGCAGGAGATAGACCTTTATCTTCATAGCTATCCATACAGTTCTTCTCTCCTTGCTACAAAAATTATTTTATCCACATAAAATCATGCCCTAACATTGTATTCAGCCAAGACATTCCAATTTCTTTTATGCTCTCTCTCTGTTTCTCTCTCTTTTTTTTTTCCCTCAAAGTAAAAGTTATCCTTGGTAATACAATTATGCCAATGACAAAAGGTCCCAATGGTGCATCCTCACTTCAGATCCTCTTCTTTCTTTTGAGCAAGTTCTAAGAGTTAAGTCTGGAAATTCTCTCAAATCAGTCTAGCGGGAAAAGAGTAAAGAAAAAAATACAATTGCTATCACATATTTTAGTAAGATTAACCTAACAAATCATCAGAGGATCAACCAACACATAATAGAGCATTTTAATTCCCTCTGAAAGGTCAGACTAGGGAAGGGTAAATAGGAAGGTGAAAATATTTGTAATATGGCTATTACCCGTAATATATTGCTTGTAAGATAAGCACACAGAATGAAGTTTCAGTATGTCATACATTTCTCAAGTAAACCTGACAAGATAACCACATACAGAGAGTGCAAGATATGTTTTAACCTGTGTATTTTGCTCTTGCTGTTAACAATTTTCAAATCGTAATTATGCTTACTGAAGTAAAACAGTGCCCTTGCTGAGACAGGATACTGGGACATGCTACTCTACAATCTCATACAGTCCATAGTGCTGTCTGGTAGCCCATACAGGCCACCACTAGAGACCAATGAGTGAAATTTCATACTGCACTATTAAGGGCTAAACTCCTCACAAAGGCTGTTGAGGAGGAGCTTTCTCCCCATAACTTCACAGGTGTTTTATGTACACAGAATGTTGCACATCCTTAGCGTCTCTTTCTCACTAACTATAAGGTGTTTTCATTACTTATGAAAATATCTGGATCTTTCATGATTTTCTTGACCATATGTACTCAATAGCGTCTTTTGATAGTGAGTTCCACAAACTGACATGTGAGATGAAATGGTTTTTAATCCCTTTGAAAAATACTCACTTTATGGTAGATACCATCTTGTCTGCAAAGTTCAGAAACCTAAATGTGGCTTAGAATATTTCCATCTCATTTCTTCAGCTAGTTCAGTCAAACATATGAAATTCCATATACAGGAAATTGTGGTGACCAATGCTACTGTCCACCATTTTCCTCATACTATTTTTCAATTTTTTCTAGGTGTATTTCTTACATATACATATGCAGCTAAGGAAGCCATGAAGAAGACTAAAAAGGCTAAGCTATGTAAGTCATCCCAGTAGTATGTTTGGTTGCTTTACAGAAGTCAAGTCTGGTGCAGAAAAAGTCCAAAGAAGTGAAGTTACATTTTGGTAACTCTTTACAAATCTCTGTAGACACAGTGGGAACATATATTAACTAATATATTCTGTTAGTGAAGTCGCATCACTGAGTAAAATAAGTACCACTAAATATGTGTGAGAAATATATCACATGATTCTCTCTTAAAATATATCTCCATGGGCAACCAGGAACTGTAAAAGGATCATAGTACTAAGGCTGCAAAGAGACATAACTATGTGAAATGAATGTGCTGCAACATGAGGACATATAGTTAGTTAGCAGGAAGAGGTGGTATATGTCCTATGTGCAGGTCTCTATAACTTTAAGCTCTGCTCCGAGAAAACAAACATTCGAGGTCAAAAATGCCCACAGACCTTTCTGTTCATCATGAGTTACAGTCACATCCCTTAGTAGAGGAGTTATGAAGATGCATAACACATAAGCATTGCTTGCATCTCTAAAGCGTTTGTGTAAGTGTAGGAGAGGAAAATTTCCCTGTCACCCAGCTCACACATTCCGTAACAAGGTCATTCAGCTGTGGAAACATTCAATCTGACTTTCCAAAGATTTTGTGCTCACAGATGTACCCCAGATCGACTGTGACGTCAAGGCGGGGAAGATAATCAATCCAGAATTCATTGCAAAATGCCCTCCTGGATGTCAAGATATAAAATATCGTGTTTATGGCACAGACATTTATGCTTCTTTTTCCAGTGTGTGTAGCGCTGCAATCCACAGGTGAGTGAGTTTAAACGAGTCAGATGCTCAGACAGAACCATAATTTCAGTGTAAGGAGCTCTTGTTCTTTCAGGTTATTTACAGTTGCCTCTGCCTTGCAGATTTGATCGCAAGCTGCTATTCTAGTAGAAAACACATGAGAAAGACTATGATATTATGATTCCAGTCATAAAATGCTGTCAATCCTGCATCCCAAATGAAATTAGTCATGTTTAAAGGTGCTTCACAATACTAGGAGAAATGTCTTGAGATCTGCAGTTCTCATTCATGTGTAGCAAGTGATTATTGCGTTACTATTATTTGAGTGGAAGAGGAGGATAGAGTTGTTGCTATTAATAAATGTTCAGAAAAAAAAAATGTCATATCACCAGTGATGAAAATATGCAATTCACATGGTTCTGGGATTAGCTGGCTGCCCAGGTTTCAATTTAATCATTCTCAACATCGAATGCTGAGTAATAGTCTACAGGAAAGAACTATTTGCTACAAGAAAAGGACAAATATACACAGAAGATGTTTTGCAAAGTTTTGTTTGCCAGGTCAAAATGTGCAGAAATCTTAAATGGAGAATAACTTGGCATCAACAACACATAACAATTATAGGCAGGATGCAAAGACCATAAGATTCAAGTGAAAATGCAGTAAGAACTCGTAGTCTGACCGACATCTTGACTTCATTTTGAGCACTGTTGTGGTGCTTCTGGTTCTATGAAACAGCGAATAGCTGAAAATTAGGCACTTTGTACTGTATTTGAAAAACAGCTTCCCTTAACAGTGTGTTAGGAACCTGGAGCAGCATTGATGGAGAAAGGAAAAGAGTTTTGTAAACCTTAGGTGACACCAGCAGTACCAGCACTGGGATCTTCTGTCTTCTCACTCTCTTCTCAGTCCTACCCTGTGAATTGCTCCTGTTATGTAATAAGCTGCTCCAGTATGAGCTGGTGAGATTAAAGGGCAGCTTTTGGTGGCTCCGTGAAACCCTCTGCAGCCCTCTCTGCAGATAGACACGTCTGTGCGATGCCGCTGCCATCTCCTGGCTGCCACCACGCGTGCTCAGCTGTTGGCCATGGAGATGACTGTCAAGTGGCTGGCAGACAACCAGCCAATGCTGCCTTCAGAGAGCTGCACACACGGAAATTGTGTGAATGCCCCTGCTAGCAGAGCTGGCCCCAAAGGCAAGTCACAAGCTTCATTCAAAATACCGACAGTGAATACTCACAGTTCAAAAGCTGGTTACCTGTATTTTTGGCGTAGAGCATCTCTATTTTCTTCATTTGCCAACTAAGTTTGCATTTTTAGCTTATATGTTGCATTTCCATAATCCGCAAATTTGCTTTCCTTGCAAGTATTTTACCATCAGCATCTTGCAATCATAAGAGAAATCTACATCTCTAGCATATTCTTCACCTTTTTTTGCTGTTCATTTCTTATTTTCCAGCACTGTGTAATTTTTGTCAATGATATTATCCTTTTATAGTAGCAGTCACAACTTGGTTTCCATACTCACCTACTAACGCTATGGTCAGGTTTCATACACTGAAAGTGTTTTGTTTGTCTTGAGATATGTATCACAACATATGATAAACACCATTTAGTGTGTACCACACACACAGCCTGTCAGGTTTTTGACAACTTTCAGTAATATTTTGTTGAATTTACTCCAGACTGAGATCAAAAGCAATCTAAATTTTCTGCTAAATTATTCAGTACATATACTGGAATTTGAAGAAAACATCAGTTTTTACAAAACAAAAAGAGGACAGGGAGGTTTGCCTCATATTTGTCTAGCTATTTCTGCTGCATAATTGGCCCTAAGACTCCTCTGACTACATTTCTACAAATCTTCAGTAGTTCAATAAATCTTGTAGGGATTTTAATGAAGACAGAAACGGGTTCTCTGCAATTAGGTCAAATTCAAACACAGAGCTAGCAAATGGGAAGAGCAAACAGACCTAAAACGCATTTTATAGCAAATGATTTTCTCTATATTGAAGAAGTACAAATATTTATTAACAGCAGACCTAGCTGCCTCTTCCTAGCTTCACTATAGCACCTGGTTTAAAGAAAAAAACAAAAGGTGTAGACTTCCTACCTCCCAACCCTGTTGAATGGTTTCTGTTTTTGCGATAATTTTCTCCTTTGGATACCATGTTTCCCCCTTGCAGCGGCATAATTGACAATGCAGGTGGGAAGATCCTCGTCCAGAAGGTTGCTGGCCATTCTGGTTACAGAGGGAGCTTCTCGAACGGGGTCCGATCCCTGTCGCTGCCGCGTTGGAGGGAGTCCTTCCTCGTTGCAGGTACTGTGGAAATGTGCCAAGTCCCCAACCAGGCTGCCCAAAGCAGTGAATTGTGCGAGTTGGGAGCGGGCAGGAGGGACAAAACAGTGTCACCATGAAGCTTTTCCACATATTTAGGCTTTCCAGCAAAGGCAGGTTTCAAAGGTTTCCTCCACCAACATCGTAACGCAGCTAGCGGTCACAGTTACCTGAGTTCTCCAAGTTCTGGTAGTTTATTTATATGCCTACACATTTTAAACTAAAAGAGTTCCACCCATCTCAAGCCATAGACAGCCATAGTGTATTTATGCAGAAGCCTATATCAATCAATAGTACCGATGAAACCCAAATATGTTGCCAGTTCTCTTCATCTCTGTTAGCCAAATGGTTTCAGTATCCACTGATTTCCAAGGAAATCCACTTTAATACTAACTCTTTTTTCTCCCCATAGTGTACAGCAAGACATGGCATTACTTTGGACTCACTAAAGAGATTCACAATATTTTGGAAGTTAAAACTTTTTAATACCAACTTCAGATTCTCTTAAACCTGCTTGTCGCCATTCTGCCCATGGGAAGCAGGGTCTAGGTTGCATTGCTTTATCCACTATTTCTAAATCTAACTTCTTGCAGCATCCATACAAGTGCTCCAAACTTCTCCTGAGGATTTAGGTATGACCAGCTAATATTAGTTAATTACATCACTTCTGGAAAAACCAGCAGTTGAAGCAACCAAATAGCCACTAAAAATAAAGAAATGGTCTTTTCATGTGAAAATTTGTGAATAGCAAAGGAGCTCTCAGAAAGTGACCAAAGTGAGCTGCCATCTGGAATCGGTATTAATATATTTGGATGCACCTTTTTACAGCATTCTCCAATGGGTAGACCACATTATGAGAGGGATTTATTTTGGATGAGTAGGAATTTCCTGGAACAGTTGAATTGCTACTTATACTTGTTGCTGTTTTTTTTTTCCCAACAAACAGCACATTGTACATAAATGGGAAATAAAAATTTTTACCTCAATAGCTGCTCAATTGCTGTCTTGTGAAACTGCAGGAATTTGAGGCTTATAGTAGCAAATCTTTATTCTTGATTAATTAAAGAAGAGACAGAGGGAAGTTACAAACACATGTGAGATGAGATGAGGAATCAGGATACACATAGGCATGATGACATTTCTTCCTTGTGTGCTTAATTTTCTCATGTTGAGTGCTCCCAGTGAAGTCCATGGAACTATTCAGTTTATAAACAGGTTCAAGCATTAAAGCAAATATAATTTAAAGGTAGGTAGTAGGTAGGAAGTCCTCACTGTTTCTTCTTAAAGTGTGAGTTTATATGTGGGACATTTAGAAGAATGAAAAACCAGGAATCCAGTGCTGTTCATCTCATTAGCCTGAGGATGAAGGCAGACAGATCTCATTCTCAAAAAGAAAAGAGTCTTTTTTTTTTTTAACAATTATGAGTCAAAGGATTCCCAATAAAAATACAAGGTCATCCAAGGCATTAATTTCAGGACAGCTTTTGAGCTTTAACTGAATCACCTCTCCACCAGCAGATCAAAACTGTATGTGATAATGTACCCTGGAAAAGTGCTGACAGTTGATTCCTAGTCAGGATATTGTCACAAAGAGTTTGTGATATTTAAATTGTGAATAAGCATCCAAACAAAAGGGCCCTGAAGAGGAATCCTTCAGGGAGCCAGGCAATGAAGTGGCGTGATTTAGGAGCAGCGGGGGACACGGCCTGTCCCCCGGGATTAAAGCAGGGAGCGCACCAGGAGGTATGCAAATGGCCTGGTGTTCGCTTTCAAGCGCTGAAACGCCTTGGCACTCAGCTGAATGACTCCATTCAGTGCAGTGGGAGTTTTGCAGCTCCCGGGTTGAGAAAATAGAGTCCTAAACCTCCGGGTTTGCTCCTGACAAATAGGCTTGAGAGGGTGAGCAGCCACCACCTCATTGCTTGTACTTCAAACAGGCAGAAGGTGAGGTTTTCAACCCACACGTCGCCCATCTTTAGGTATGTTAAGCAAAGCTGGCCTAGGTGCAACTTTTTGCAGATGATACATCAATGGAAAGGACATACAGCTATTGCTCCAGAAAGCAGGGCCACGCTCAGGCCATGTCTCAGACCTTCCTCTGAGCCACGCATGGGACCCAAGCTGCTGTTTATCAAAATCCCCAGAGTTCAGGAGTAGCCAGCCTCCCCATGCCAGTTTGCTTCCCCAGTGGCAGCCTATTTGCCCAAATTTGCCTGGTTAGCACAGAGAGATTCTAAATTAAAATCTGATTATTAGATTATCGCTACATCCCTGTAACAACCTTGTACATCTGACAGCTCTAGCTCTGCCAGAGATCCATAAAAGCTCTTAGCAATTACCTGTTATCAAGTAACTTTTCCAGTTTCCTACCACGCTGGTAGAAAGGCTCTCCAAGATTCAATCTCTAGACTAATGACCTAAGATGACAGCTGTCATGCTTAGAGTGACATATACACAGGCCTAAAAGAATCTGCTGCAGAAATAAGGGAAAGCAAAGAAGAGGTAGGTCTAACATGAGATAGCACAGATGTACACAACAGTGCAGCATCTCATAGAGTCACTTGGGTCCAGAAGTCCCATGTCCACCACATCCAAACTCCCACAGACACAGCTTCTAGAGGACAGGGTGGTCTTTAGTTCCCCAGGTTTTGCTGCAGCAATTTTCATTCACTGGTGTAGATATCTCTTCTGATTATCAAAACTGCCCCATGAGACAGAACTGCATGGCTGCACATGCCAATGGAAATGGCATCTGGGACAGGACTGAAAGATTTGTGGTTTCAAGCTTAACTGGGAAACACAGCTCATTGGTTTAGGACAGGACCCTCATTTTAGATCTAAATATAGCTATCATATGCTCCCACACACAAACACAGCCTTCTCTCGGTGTTATTATTGCAGAAGACTGTTGCCAGAAATGGCGTATCACAAAAGTGAGGTTAGAAAAGAATGCCATGTGCCTGAAGAAAGGAATCCCACATCAAACACGCTTTCCAACTCAACTGGATAGTCAGGCACTGCAAAAGGCTACATAGGAAGGCTATGCATTTAAGTACAGGTTATACAAGAGTCCTTATACTTAACACTGCCTGAGAGCAAAGGAATGAACTAGCTAACCTCTTCAAAATGCTCCCAGGTCTGCATTTTTATGCCTTTTTTATTTTAATGATGCTCAGTTTACGTACTGGTATTTTTAGTGGAATGGTTTTGAGATTCTACCAGGAGATGAAGGAATTTTAAAGAAAACAAGTTGGGTGGTAGAGAAACAAGTCTGATTCTGCACCTGTATGTTATATGGGAGTCTTGATGTAAAAAAACTTAAAATTCTTAAAATGCCAGTCATGGATTTGCCTGTTATATTGTGCACTCAGTAACCATAATTACTTTTTGTAGAGGGAAAGCCAAGGAAAGGTGTGACGTACCCATCAACTCTTGAATATTCTTCTTCAAAAAGCACAGTTGTTAAATCAGGCAAGTATTTTTGACTGTCTTTGCCCCAGACCAATTCATATCTATCTGTTATAGTGTGTCAGTTGTGTAATAGAAAGGTTTGATTGTTCAAAGACTGAAGTTAATGCATCTCTTTTGCTCATTGGCATTAACGTCTGCTCCAAATCCCTGTTCATAGTTCTTATGTTAAATATATGAAAATTATTCCAGAAATTTTCTGATTTTGTTCTATTTTTCCACAGAACTTCTCAAGCAGTCTCACCCTTGCTTTATATCTGTTTGAAAGCATGATATTTTATTGGTTATATGAAATCATTTGATATATTTACATATTGGCTTTCTCTTAATGATATTCACGTTATCTCTTGGGATGATAATGTGGAGAGCATAATAACATATAATGACACTTAGAATATTAAAGACGGCAATTTACATCAGCCTTAGGTAGGGATAATATGATAAGGACCAACTTCCTTTTAGCTCGCATCCTACTCTGTCAGACTCAACTCAGTCAAAAAAAAACAGTTGTTATAAAAGGTCTATCATCATGGTTTAGACCAAGTGGCAGTTGATATTCAAGTGTACATGAAGTGTCTCCATCACTGAAATGCCACTTGTTCGTTATTCCTGTACTAACAGCATTATGTCCAGAATCATCTTTGAAATGAAATGAAATGAAAACAAAATTAATATCTTATAGTACCATAATTCCCTATTAGCAGTTCTCAGCTACCATGGCTCTTTTGCTGAGCCTGAATGTTACTGAGTTGATCAGCCAAGAACTGTGGTATAAGGAAAGGTGCTGTAGCTTGTCCATGCACTCCAACACCTTCCCCTGGGTGTCTCCATCTAAGGCTGTGCTTTGTTAAGTTCGAATCTGTGCTGTTCTTCTCTTCATTATGGTTTATTACTCATGGAGGTAAATTACAAAGCTTTTTCCTCATCTTTACACTTTTACTCGCTCAAAGGCACTTTTACATCTGAACACTGTAGTTGTTTAGACTGAAAATGCATCTCTCAAAATACTCACTGTTGACTTGCAGTACCTTTGCATCTACAGTCTAATAAGGACAGATTCATAAAGGCTCCTTGACTAGGCACTCTGAAATCACTGACACAAATATTAAGCTCTGCTACAAGGGAGAGAGGGCAATATCTTGGAAATTTTGTGCTTTTTTTCCAGGAAAAGCTCACTAAAAACAGATGTCTTCATTCTTGAAGGTGCCCACACTTTAAGTATCAGCTCAAATGTATCACGGCAAATCAGGAGCTATCAGCCAAGCTAGTGCTCAGCCATCTGCAAGCAATGATTTCTTCAAAGTGCTAAAACCCACGCTGCATGAGAAGTAGAGTAAGAATGGGAAGCATTCTCAAATCACATCTCAGTTATACAAACAAAATATCCAAAGACTGTGCCTGCAGCAACCCAAAGATGCCAACAACTTCCTTCATTTTGTTCTTGAATGAAATGGTATGAATGAAAATGTTAGGATCCTAGCAACAAAAACTGTGCATTCATGCAGTGAAAACCCAGGATAACTGTAGGAACAGATAATATCTGATTTATCAAATGCAGCTCTTGAGAACCTCTCAGCCCTGTCTCACAAGCAGAAAAGAGCCCAGGCACCTGAATCAACCTCCCCCTGAGACCTCCTTGCCCTCATCGCCTCAGCCCATCCCTCTCAGCCCCACTGTGCTAGGAACTGCCTGTTCTTGTATCAATGTGGTGCAATTGTCCCCTGCTATGTGGTACTAGAGCCATCTTGTGATGGAGGATTTCCTACTTCTCTTTTTTTAATTAGAAAAACTACTTTTTAAATTCTGATTTAAGTTTTAGAGACCTCATTACACAGCTGGACACTTTAGCCCGTTATCTCGAGGAGCTAAAGTGCGTCCTTTGAGGATTACACTCAGTCACTGCCAGATTAGCGGAAAATCCTACTTTACATCTGATCAACTGTCAGAGATGCAATTTTGGTCCTGGTCCTCAGGGCATTGGAGATTCATAGTGCCTGACATTTCTTTAAATATTGCTAATGGTTACAGTGCTCTCCAAACACTGGGTACAGCAAGAAAAACCTTCCCAGAATTACAACTATTCACAGCTGGTAAAAACAATCAACAGCTGCTCTTTAAAATAATCCAAATCCAAATTAATAGGAAACTATTAACCCTGGAGTAATTTCTAAACTAGGTCAATACTGCCAAAATAGCTAGAGAAGAGAAAAAAAATAGAACAAAAAACCCCAGTGCACAGTCAGATCTGAAAACATAGGCAAACGCCGTTGCAGGGTAGGGATAACTGAACTGTAATAAACAAAATTCCAAATACTTTGATGAGTCTGGGTCTTAGAAGAAGAAAAAGATGAAGAAAAATCTTTTCTTCTAAGCCAGTGCACTGAATTCAGTATTTAACTCCATGTTGATTTGACAGTGTTAGACAAGAAAGAACTGCATCTGCATGCGAATTAGCTGCTGAAATATGACATGCCAGCTAATATTCACCAAACACCCTGCACGCACTGTGACCCTGATTCTCAGGACACTGCTACTCTAAAGAAAAGTCAGCAACACACTGTTTGAATCTTATGTGTTTGGGTTTATTAGAACACAAAAATCACATGTTTAATGTTCACTTCTGAAGTTCTACTGACACTGACAGGAGCTTTGGAGCAGGTACTGCCTAAGTCAGACACTGAAAATAGGAGGTGACTGTTATCTAGGGGCAATCATCACTTTTTCTCATCTGTTGAGAAAGCTCTTATGAGCCTGACTAGCCTTTCTAAGCTAGGCAATGGGATGTCTCCATTTGAGGACTGATAATCTCTAAATTTCAGACTTAAAGTTATTTCCTCTGAAAGCTGCATTTACTAATGTGTTTCATTTTGCTTTAGAGCCTAAAAAGTCAGAGCAAGACATAAAAGCTATGAAGAATGTCAGCATCTCGAACACTGCAGAAAAAGCATCAGAACAAGGTATGGATTGAGGATCCTGATGCTCCTCTCCAAAGTCCCTCTCAGCCTAAGTTACCCTCAAATGGTTATAGGAATATATATGAGGCGCTTTCAGCTAATGCATACATTATGCATACAGGTAATGCATACAGCCCTACTTTCCCAAAGCATCTCCTGAGACCTGGGCTCATGGGCAGGTGACAATTTGGAGAAAAGAAGGCACCCTCCCAGCATAGCTTCTGCCTGTGTTTTGGGCCAGTTCATGTGTCAAGACCTTGGAGAGCCTGCATTACAGCTCTCCGTTATTGGGAGATGTGGGAATGTTATATCTCCGTGTGGAAAATGTGCCCTACAAACTCCGCTAGATGTTGCGATGGAGCTGGACATCCTGCCTGCTGGAGCACTGGGAAGGACCAGCCCCCCTAAGCACTCCTGTTGCCCTAAAGGCTCTGTCAGAGTCCCAGCCGGCTAGCACCAAGGCATCATCTTACCCCTGCTTTGTTTAATCATATTTCCTCATTCCTGTTTTTGTTTTTTCTGCTATATGCTTAGCTCCATGCCTCTTTGCTCCTTGCAGCTTAGGGTATAGAGAGCACAGCTACTCGTGCTCCCTGTTTCTGCAGCACCACTTTGCATGGGAAAAATCAGTGTGCCCCCTGTTTCCTTTATTTTAGTGCAAGGCACAGTTCAGCCCAAAGAGCGCCATTCAGAATGATTTTTTTCAGCTGAGTTGTTTTGCTTTTCTTCCAACCCCTCTTTCAGCATTATCCCATTAAAAGTGCCTGAGATCTGAATTTTTCACTGGCTAGCATTAGACAGTAATTAATCCACTGGACAGTTTCATGATGATGCTTTCCAAAAGGAGAGCATCCAGGAATAAAATGCAAGCTTGTGCTGTGCAGCAATGAATAAAGTGCATAAAGACACACCATCTCCTTTCAGCATACACAGTTTGTCAGGCTGTCAAGCCATGCCTGGGGATATGGGTGGAAAGGAAAAGAAAAAGACTGGGGTGAACACAGCATATATTTTAGGGAGTTTTTTCTGTAGATAGAAGGATAAGATAGTGAAGACTTTTTTTTTCCCCCTCTTAAGATGATGACATAAAATAACAATAAGCATATCACTAATTTTGTATAAGGATCTTTACGACGTGCATCTTTGCAACCAGAGTTATCTCTTCCTCTCATGAGTCAAAGTTAGGAAGAAATGGCACCTCAGATGTTCTCGTCTCCCCTGTCACCCTAGCCAGAGCCACAGTGTTCTCTCTTCTGGTTCGGACCCACTCCCTGAATCATTATTTTCTGAAAGTTGTCATTTGTCCAAAAGCATTTCAGTGCTGTGGTAGGTGGCGCATATCTTATTCCGCTCTATGACTCAGAAGTTGCCATCTTTTATTACCAGATGTCATCTGATTTCCATTTATATGGACTTTCTAATTGCCTAATTACACTGAGAAAAGATGACAACAAAACAGAAACTGCGAGTGCAACTGCCTGCTTGAACTAATCCATAGCCCTGAGACAGCTGTCAGGTTTATGGGCTTTCCTGTCCAAGGCAGAGAAAGTGTAGGGGAAACGTGAAGGTTTTGAGAGGTCGCTGGCAGCACTGTGCAGAGAGCTGTGCAATACTGTGTCACACGGGCACACGTGTGGTAGATCTGCTCACCAAAGAAGGCACCAGTGGATCCAAAGGTGGCGATGCCTGTAGACATCCCAAGGAAAACACCTTAAACAGCGAGCACAATTAATGATGCTTCCATGCGTGTGTCACATGCCCAGGTAATGACACACGCTGATATTTTTTTACAATGTTTCTAAAGGCAATACAGTCCACAAAGAGTACCAGACATCTCCAGTGCCAAACCCAGCTACCCCAATTGCCGCCACAAGCCCACCACAGACAACAGCAACAACAGACCCTTCCACCACAACACCGAAACCAGCTACAACACCTGTGACGACCAGAACCACAACAGCTGCAGCTACAGCCAAGTCTCGACCAGCACTGCATCGAGTTAGAGATACAGGTCAGTAGCACAAGTTATGAAGCATCTTTTTTTTTTTTTCCTGAGGTTGGAGTTTTCCTAAAATTTAAGGAACAGGACATGAAGTTAAATATACCATTATTTAACAGATTATGAACATGTATTCAGCAATTCGATGTAAAAATAGCAGATAAAGAAATTCATTCCAACAGATGGGCTGGAGTTGTAGTATTGACTTTGAGATGCATACAAAATTGGTGTGTTTTTTATACACTCAGACAACCTATGCAGATTCTCTAAAGTAAAAGAGGCTATATTTAACTTAGTTCATCTGCAATACACAATGCAATTACAGCTAGTCCTTATCTCTAACTATAATACACTGACATATAAGCTGTTTCATGGGGGAGTAAACTCTTCATCCCCAAATGGTTTTGTAATTTGCAGATATAATACTCAACAAATATTTGTTGTATACCTGGACTGAGAGTTCTAAAAACAGGTTGAGAATTAATTTTGTGATAACTTTCCAGCAAGTGAGAGTTGTAATACAGGTTTTAGTAACTACTCTAGTATTTGAAAGATGAAAACATCCTAAAGGAGTTCTTCTCTTCTGCTTTTTACACAGCCAGGTATATTTGAAAGATGAAAACATTCTAAAGGAGTTCTCTTCTGCTTTTTACACAGCCAGGTTTCCTCAGTCTTTTCTTCTTCTCTTCATTTATTCACATTCATTAGTATTGTTTTTCTTTTGCAATACCTGAAAGTCAAAATCTCTTGTTTTTAGGCTCTAGCAGTATCCACCCAGCATATTCATCTGTGGCAGCGGCAGCATCAAGTAAGTACAGTGAAGAAATATGTGCCACGAGACATGGAGTACTGTGTATTTTAAGGCAGCAGTGATTCAATAACAGCCTTTAAAGCCTCAGCAAACTCCATGCTTGCAGCCAAGGCTGGATATAAACCAGAAAATAGACACTTGGTCTGATTGTCAGAGCTGCTAATCATCCACGGCTTTGGAGAAGCCTTTCTAGCAGATATCTGCACATTTTAGCCTTGACAAATGCTAGGTTTGGCAACACCTGAGATGAAACCTGTGCTATTTTCATAATGCTTTCTTCAATTTTATTCTCTCGAAGATCTGAGCTAGTTGTAAGATACACAGTACAGATGGTTGCATAGCTATCTAAACTTAGAGCTGAGAGTTCTGAAATGTCGACTTAAATTAGACCAATGCTCTTTCGAAAACCTCAGGCTGTGGTTCTGAGCCTGGCATAAATGTGATGTTATTTCTGGCATTACATTCGTGTTATTGACAACAAAATCATGGCTGTTTGAAGCTCTTCATCCTGCTCCAGAAGCCTGCTTCCATTTTAGCCTGCAGGCTGCAATACAAATATTTAGAGGAGTTTTCCCATACAATGTGCAATTGCTCAGCTGTGCGCTCAAGTAAAGGAGAATATTTTCAGCTGTTACTGAGTGCTAGAATATCATTACTTTCAAATAAAAAGGGTGGCCAATCATTAGCCATAGGTTTTATGTTCTGTCACTACTTCTGAAAGCTTTGAGAACTGTTCTGCTCTCACAAACATGACTAGATGCATCCATGTAGCCTAAAAAATCAGAGCCAAAGCACATGCTGTGTATCTTCTGGCCAATTCAGCTGCAAGTATGGAGGTCTCCTACTTCACTATGTCTACTTGGAAGATAGGGCAGCATCTTCCCTATGGGAGGAGAAAGAGAGGAGACGAGGTGAAAGGCGGCCCTTGGGTGGCTCCGTGTGCTCCTCAGGCCTTCCAGGGCAGGGGCAGGTGCTGGTGCCAGAGCGCGATGTGCAGGTAGGTGTATGGCAGGGTTTGCTGAAGTGCCAGCACAATCCAGTGCACTTCAGATTCACTGTTGATCTGCCTCATTTAGCATCCAGTGTCCCTGTAAACCTGGTCTTAGTTGATGCTTTCATTTCCTTTTCATGTTCCTGCAGGCTGAGAGCAAGTGAGGCTTTTATTGTTTCCACTGATAATTGCATCTCTTACTGACTGGGGAACCTCAAATAGGCTTTTCTAAGAATGAAATTCTGACAGCTTTGAAGTCAGCTTGAAGGTTGCATGTCTTTAGTAACACCAAAGTTTTAGCACCAACAAAAAATAAATTTTAATAATAACAATAAATGAAAAGACTCTCACTTTTGCAAATCTTTCTAAAGGCATCTCACTGCTATTTGGGTGCACATTTCTTCCCAATGGTCTTTACTAAGGATCTAATGTAAATGAATCCCTAAATGATAAAAGATGTCAGATTTAAGGCAGCTAATTGTGAGCTAGAGGAGCAGTGGGGACTTATTTCTGATTTCATGGATCATGTCTATGCTTGGTATTTGACTTCCTGACTTCTCCTGATGTCTTCTTAGTTCTTAAGAGGAAAATTAGATAAAACCTGCAGAAATTCCAATATATTTCTGAACTGATGACCACACATGAGGCAGTGTGGTCCATCAGCTTTTTCTGCCTGAGGAGCCTTTAGCACTCACCCCTGTTATTCAGACCAAAGCTTCTGATGCTGCCCTTGTCTCTACCACTGTTTGGCTTAACTGAACTCTAAAAGAAACAGAAAAACCTTGCAGGCAGAATCTAATGTCCTGTCTATCTTGGCTCACAGGAGCTCACAGACCTAACTCTCACTATATTGGTAGTTTGCCTGCAAAAGACACCTCAAAAGTAAATACCCTGGAAAGAGAGCACAGGCAGAATGAACACTGCTGCGGCTGCTGTTAGCGAAGGTGTTTCCATTTCCAGCCACTGGCAGAAGTTCACAGGACCAAAAGCAAAAACGAACCTACAGCTGTTGGTGTCAGAGCTAAAACCATCCACCCTAGCCCTCGCTGTTCTTGTTCTGCTCTCCCCCTTCTCTTCAAAGAAGAGAAAGACTGTCAAAGAGTTTGCATGCTGTTCTTCCCCCTAAGTTAACCCCAACCTGAGGGTGCTGGCCAAGTTCCAGCAGAGTCTGCTGCCGCTAATGCTCCCCTTTTCGCACCAGCACCCAGCTCTTGCAAGGCCCACTCCAAACTGCATTCCTCTTCACTGCCCCATCAGCTGGATAATCTGTCTTTTACTGCCTCCTGCTCACTGCAGGGCTTGTTCCCAACCAGGGGCTGAGACTGGTTTCTAGCCACAGTTCTGAGCAGTTCCTCAGTGTATTTGCATGTCGCTGACCTCAAGCCCCAATTAGTTCTCTGTTCTGCCTGGCCATATTTCATCTGAGCCCTCCAGAGCTGTCCTTAGCTTTGCATTGCACATTAATTCCTTGCTCTATTAGCTGCTCATTATTTACACCCCTTCTCACAGTTTAAAACCACAGCATCCATCTGAAATGGAACCTCTCTGATCTGAGTATTTAAAAGGTTTCTCTGCTCCACTGCTTTAATTTCTGACCCAGTTCTCGGGCTTCACTCAGTGTCTGCCCATCCTCACAAGTCTTAAGAGACGTTCATTCCCTTTAGGCTCTTCAGCACACAGAGATCTCTACAGTGTGAAACACAGACTGCAAAAAATCCATACAGCACTGCTGCATGAACGGATATTTCACTCCAGAACCTGAAAACTCAGCCACATTTGCTGAGGGTCTTCAGGAGAAGAAGTTGTCCTCAGGATGCCACCTAGAAATCCCACCAAAAGACTTCCAGTGGCCTGGAGATATTCCAGTTTGGGTCAACTATGAAAAAAATTATAAAATATATATTATATTTTTTTTATAAAAAATACATAAAATAATATATATACTATATATATAAAAATATAAGATTTGCTGTCGCCTAATTTTGTGATGCCAGGGTGCCAAATATCAGCAATTCCTATTTTCTGAGCTAACCATTCAAAATGGCCTTATTTATGATATCTTACTGACAAAAATATCTCCTGGGCCTTGCTCCGATGTTCATAGAAGTCAGCTAAAATATTCTCATGGATTTCAGCAAGCTTTAGAATTAACTGGGAAAACTAATGAATAGAAGCTTGTTGAAGAGTAAGTTGATTAACAAGTTTCTTAAGAGTATGTAATCAAACAAAAGGCATGACTAAAGACATCTGCAAAGCCTTTAGTAATTTTCAGCAATGAGATTTTAATAATATTAACCCAAACACCCTAAAAAAGCCTTTTGAGAAGACAGCGCTGGAGACATTTCAGACACGAGTCACATTCAGACACATTTATACTGTCCCATCCCGTTATTTACAGCGTACTTGCTTGCTTGTGCCTGCTGCTGTCTCCTGTTGTGGCTTGTAAACTGGTTGGGTTATAAGCTGGTTTCAGTCTGGTTTGGTATTTCCTACCTCCCACAGCCAGCACAATTAGTTGTTATTGAAATATAAACAGATAACAAATTTCTAAGGGGAAATAAATCACAGCAATAATGACAAGCTTTTTAAATGTAGATTAGAGTCCTATTCAAGTAATATTCATAACTGAAGTGAACGTTAACTTTTCTATGTGACAGACCACAGCAATTTGCTTTTAAGCTCGCCCCAACTGTACAGTGTTAACAACAGAGAAAGGATGCTAGTGAGAACTCTACATATAAACCATGAATCCTGAGAGCTATAAAATGAGACTAAATGGAAATCCCAGGTAACAGTAGCTTTGAAGCAAATGTGATGTAAATTACAGTTTTCCATTCTGATATCTCCTCAGGACAGATTCAGGCTGCACAAGGAAGAGGACAGAATACAGGTAAGTTTTAAATTAATAAAAATCAGTAGATATTTATCACTAGAGTATTAGAAAACATTATGTTTAAGTTCCAGGTACTAACCAATATAATGTTTTCAAAGCATTCAGGGGCTCTTCCATCTCCTCAAGTAGCAGGAATATTTTACGACACGGTACAGGTAAAGACAGTAAAATCTCTTCTTTGATTTCTCCCTGGAGCTAGTGCCACCACTCGTGTCTACTGAGACATATAGTGATATGTTTCCACTCCTAATCACATTCTCAGTGGGATGCAATGTGAGCAGGCATCACGTTGATTATGTGTGATATTAACATGACTTCTGGAAAAAAGAAAAATGGAATAATGCATCTTATAATTCTTCTTAAAATGGGATTCTAATCTCTCTCATAGAGGCCTTGTATAACATTTCCTGCTGCAAAACAGCAAGAGAACTTTGAGTATATGCAAGTTTGGGGCCACTGACCTGATCCTTAGATGAGTGTTTTCAGTTTCCATGGAGTGAGCTTGCTGGACATCTTTTGGGACCCATGTTGTGCTGCAATGCTCAGGCTAATAGCTGCCCTGTGCAGATAAGATTTAAATACTTTTCTTCTTTTGTCTCCCTTTTCTGCTTTTAAATGCTCCTTCTTCCTTTTTTTTTTTAATATATTGTTGTCATCTTCTTTTTCCATTTGTTTTGAAAACATGTATAGAAAGATAGTTTGTGGCCACCGTGTGCCTTGCTGTGGTGCTTCTATCTCATAGCCAACTGCTGTCTAACCTCTAACCTCTCTGTCAAATCACGCAGGAGTTCAGCGCCAAGAGCCTGTTGCAGCCTTCCGGAAACCTGCCGGATCTCCAGCCCATCTGGGTGAGCAAGACTCTCAGGAGCAGTTTTTCCGCTCCCTTTCATAGTTTCAGTAATCCAAAGTAAACCCGCAGGCAGTATTTCAGGTTGTTTTCATGTATGCTGGAGGAGCACCAGAGCAATCCACACGTGCTGCATGCTAACTAGCAGCCTCCTGAATTTGAAAGCAAAGGACAAGCTCAGTCACTGGTGAGCTGTTGTTCTGGGCCGTGGGAATGAACATCTACCACGGGGTTTGCAATTTGCCTTTCTTGTTAGTCCAAACGTGCAACAACAGCAAAAAATCAGCTCTCTGTAGCCTGTCATCATGTCTATGAGCAAGATAAATTTTTCTCTCTTCCTGTTGTTCCCAGAAGCCTCCAAGCTGATCACAGCCATGGCAATTGCCTTTGACACTGAGGGTAGAAACATCATCTATACTCTCCTCGGGGTCTGAGCTTAAATGCTGCTCCTGGACTGCATTTGCCCCCAAGGGCATGGTTCAGATGTTTTGCCAAAGCCTAGTCCAAAGCTCTACTGTGTCGGAGTTGCCCTTGAACACAGGCAGAGCCTCAGTCTGCTCAGTGTCCTGGCAGCTCTGCTGAGGGCTAGAAAGTGCACGGCGGGATACTGCTCCAGGAGACAGCAACATAGCCAGAGAATGAAGGCCAGAGGCCAGAGGCCATTCTTATGTTCTAGTTATGCAGAATGTATGTATATCTTCCTGGTTGGAGGCCTGTGGCCAGTGGTGTCCCGCCGGGGTCAGTACTGGGCCTGGTGCTCTTCAACTTGTCCATCAGTGACTTGGATGAGGGCACAGAGGGCACCCTCAGCAAGTTTGCAGATGACACCAAATTGGGAGGAGTGGCCGACACTCCCAGCAGCTGTGCTGCCATTCAGAGAGACCTAGACAGGATGGAGATTTGGGCAGAGAGGAACCTCATGAGGTCCAACAAGGACAAGGGCAAGTCCCAGTACAAGAAGGACATTGAGCTTCTAGAGAGGGTCCAGCGGAGAGCCATGAAGATGATTAAGGGACTGGAGCATTTGTCATATGAGGAAAGACTAAGCGAGCTGGGATCGTTTATTCTGGAGAAGAGAAGGCTGAGAGGAGATTTGATCAACATGTTCAAGTACCTGAGGGGTGACTGTAGGGAGGATGCGGCCAGGCTCTTCTCTGTGGTGTCCAGTGGCAGGACGAGGGGTAATGGGTGTAAGTTGAAACACAGGAAGTTCCACCTCCATATGAGGAAGAACTTTACTGTGAGGGTGACAGAGCCCTGGAACAGGCTGCCCAAAGAGGTTGTGGAGTCTCCTTCTCTGGAGATCTTCCAAACCCGCCTGGATGCCACCCTGTGCCACGTGCTCTAGGTGTCCCTGCCTGAGCGGAGGGGTTGGACTGGATGATCTCTAGAGGTCCCTGCCAACCTCAACCGTTCTGTGATTCTGTGATAGTACAGACCAAGTAAGTTTAATGTCTCCATCAAAATGACATTTTGTAGTTTACCTAGTTGAAACGCATTTAAAATACCTTCACCTTTTCCTCCAGAGATTTACTTTTCCCCTTCACTTTTCCACTACTCTTCCTTGTTTTTGTCAGTCTTCAAACTGATCTCCATCTTTGTGCTACTTGTGCTCTTTTTGCCATACTGATGTCACAGCTATTTCCTTTTTCTACTGTACATTTTTTTTGTTTAATTGTTTTTTTTTTTTTTTGCTCTCCCTTAATTCCCTTTGCCCTTGTCAAAATCCAATATTTACCTCCAGAGGAGACACATATGGGCAATACTTGCCTGTACAGAACAGCAGAGCAAATAGGTTGCCTGTAAATGTGCCACTCACAGCAATGTGCTAAATATGTGACACCCTCTGCAGGAGCAGAGTAGCCCAGGGCGGCAGATCTGCCTGGCTGGCAGGATTGAAACAGAAGAGTCTTGTGATCAGGACCGAAGGGTGCTAAAGGAGGCCATGCCTCAATCTATCAGAACCTGTGCCCGCAAGGCAGGACGAAACAGTGCTGAGGCTTGTTTAACGCAAAGCCAGTATTTAATTCTGCCAAATATATTGGGTTAAAACACCTCAAGATCCCCCAAGGTGGTCACAAAATATAAACCCCATGAATGACTCTCTCTTCTCAATCACAGAAGAAGGAAAATCCCCACAGACACACACTTGCCATGTTCCCAACAAGTCCTGATCTTTTTTTCAGCCCAGGCTCTGGCAGCTCTGGTGTGTTTCTTCCAAGCAGCCAGTTTCTCTAATGATCAAAGGGAAATTCCTGCGCAACTCCTTGTTTTCTTGGAAAAGAGCGCTGTTTTTCTTGACCCTACCAAGCGAGCGCACACTCTTCAGTACACAACAATGATCAGTTCTATGGGCTTGGCTGGGCTCTTGAGGAACTTCGTCATCAGCTCCACTTAGGAAAAAGTTGTGCTGGAAAAACACCCATCTCGACACACCATTTTGCCTGCTCTGCTTCCTGCTACACATTCTTAAGAACATCCCAAGTCTTCCAGGATCTTGACAATGCACATCAAATCTCTTGAAATGCCTTACTTGCTCAAACTTTTTCACACTGTTATACTCAGGAGGGTTTTCCTTTTTTTTAAGATAGTCTTGTAATATTTTTAAAATCAACCTTTGATTCTTTACAAGCATGACCTAGAAAAAAAATCCTGAGTCATTTATGGATCACTCAGAAAGCTGTATATTCTCTATATTTTCAGACCGCTACCCAAAAACTTTGGCATCTACAGCTTAATTAGTATTCATTTCTTCATTGATGAGGAAAACACAGATGTCATCTCACCATACAAAGTTTTAAAGGAGGTAATCAGTGCAAGACTTCTCAAAGAAGCAATAGAAAGCACTCGCTTAGAGGGCTTAGGAAGGACTAGAGCACTTGGTTATTAGCTGAGCAAAAGTACTTTTTGAGAAGAGCAGATCTAGAGAAACTTCAGCAGTTCTCTTACTGACCAAAAGCATTCTTTGAATGGAGTTACTGGAAAACATCTTTCTTCTTTGAGCTTAAACAATCCAGAAAAGTTAGAAGACCAATGCTTCAGTCACACAGGATAGTACCACGGACTGAGAATAGCCCTTGACAGTGAGGTGGCAGCAGAAGCAAATCTGTGCTAAGTGCGACAGGTATGTTCCCTTCGTCTAAATACTTCAGTTCATGCCCCTCACTTGATTCATCACTGTTTTCTCAGAAAAGAAAGTTTACTCCGCTCAGTCAGGAAATTCTGGTAAATAACCCTGCCCAGGTGGACGATAAGCTAGGAGCTCTCCTCCTGTCTTTCCTTCCGTTTCCTGCTTCATTAGTCAGTCCTGCCTTCCCCTCAAGATACATGCGCCCCACTGAGATACATGGTTCAAGTCCAGCTTTCAAAGGTAATACAGAGAAAGGCCCAAGGAACAAGGGTTGCATGCATAAGACTCGAAGTTTTGTCCTGAAGACAAACAAAAATAAGAAAAAAAAATCAGAAGAAAGTGTATTGTGAGCTTCCAATAATAATACCAGTGATCAAGGAAATGAGGGAAATAAATAAGAGTGAGGTGTGGGGAGGAGGGATGAAAAAATGTGTGTCTCAGCATTATCAGTGCAGGCCAGGTAGGTTATGGTACATTTGGAGGAGCATAATGAAGCTACTGATCTCACCAGTGCTCTTAGTCTTTACCCTATCTATCTCAGTTGGCTTTAAGTGCTTTCATCTGGCTGCAGTCCAGAACAAAACATTACTTTCCTGGGAAACATCTTCACCAGTCTCCAAACCTGGCTCCTTTGGGATTTACTTGTGAAAATAGCAATTTTGATACAGTTTTTCATGCCTAATAGACTGTAGACAAGATTTAGATAACTTTGTGTTTGGATGGGTGGAGGTTTTACAGAAGCTCGTAGAAGAAAGGTACTTGCAGATTTTCCCTGAGACAGAATGTATGTCTAGTGTGTATATGTGTGTAGATATGTGTATATATGTGTGTTTATATATACATGTGTGTGTGCATATGTTTTTGTATACTATAGTTATCATATTTGCCTCAAAATCAATGCATTTAGAGCAATATTCAAACTGATTTATAGAGGCATAATTAAAATCATTAAAAAGAAAGTGCTTTGGAGGCAGTGAGAAGAGGTTCTTAAATATGGCTTAAAATGTGTCCATAAAGATTTCCGGTTTTACTGATTTCCTTAGCTCCTACTTATTAATGATGATTCATTGTACAAACTGACCTTTCTAAACTGAGCCAAGAGCTCTGCAACCTCCAGTAATTCCATTATTATTTCCAGTAATATTTTTTCTTCTCTTTCATGTGTGAAAGCAATGGAAACAGACTTGTGGAAACCTGAATTAAGCCTTTTTGATACAGGTAAATATTTAAAGCCTCCTGTAACTACTCTGGGAATAATTGGTTTCCAACACACATGGGGAAAGCTAACACTATTATTAATCAGTCCCACGACACTGTTGATAATGATCTCATTTTAAAGAGTGATTATAGTATTCAAAGCGACAAATGAGGTACACAGTTTGCATCTCAATAATTAAAATTATTCTGTGCTTGCATTGGTCACAAGTGTTGCGTCAAGCAGGAACAGAACAGATGAGCTCTGGAAGGAGTTGGCAGCTCTACTGAAAAAAATACGAGTTGTACCTACTAAAACCCATTTTTAAATTAAAAAGGTGAATTTGGAAAATGCCACAGTTCAGGCAGCAGTCTAGAGATGCAATCAGCAAAGAAGATGAATTCTTCTGAGGGTTGATGTAAGAATGAAGGGCATTCAGATAAAAAAAGAATTTAAAGTAAACATTATTGAACATTTCCAATGTTTTAGAACATTAAAACTCAAAAACAGACAATATGGAGGTGCCAAAATTTTATAATTATTGATGTCTGAGAAAAAAAATCCTATATTCATAGGAGACCCTGGTAGCAACTAGAAGGGAACTTGAACAACGCTTACTCAGAGCAGTTACCAACAGTTTCTACATGCTTGATATTTAGGGGCTCCTTTCCTCAGAAACATTTCAAAGCAGACCATACGGAGCACAGGGCAGTTCCTATAGGTTAGAGCTTCGCTCTCACAAGGGACTTGACCTGCCATTTACATGTCCTTTCCATCACCTATTCTGTTGCTGGAGGAAAACTGTGCTGTGCTGGTGGTCCTGACTTACTTCAAGCTGAAACATGACTGAAAGCTGAAGCATTGGCATCAGCTTGAAAACCTAGTATCAGCAACAATGTCTGTTTGGTCAGAATTTGCATCATCCTAAATATGAACGGATTTCCCTTCTGCAGAGGTTGCAAGCTGAGCCGGAGAGAGAAATCGTTTCTAGCATTGCAGCTAAAGCGGTCTGTGGATTTATCCTGAAAAAAAAGCTACAGCACTAGGGCCAGGGATGTAGATGGATATTCTGAGAGGAAAAAAAATGACAGATTGCATTAAATGCAATGGGAGGCTGGGCATGGGGGAAGGGAAGTTGTATTAATAGTTCCTCTGTAAGTGAGGCGTCTGTGCAGACTCGTGCTCAAGGCTGATGAATTCAGATTGTCACTTCAAAGGAAGGGTTTCTGGCATCCATGTAGCCGCTGCCGTCTTCCTTAAATGAATGGGAGCTTTAATCAGCACGGACAGCTGTGACAATCAGTGAAGGGAACTTTAATTAGCATGAAGCGAGCTGCCCATGCAGTGAACTGAGATTCCCATGCAGCAATAACATTAAGTTGGACTGGCAGGACAGGGAGTGCCGTGGAAAGCGACCACCTCCCCAATTAGTGGAGAAGCCAGTCTGGTGGGTGACCTGAGTGTTAGACTAAATGCACATCAGCCAGCTGACCCGCAACCTTCAGGATCTGTTAATTGCACAGGCAAGAGAGAAGGAAAGGTGCTGTGTTGTCAGATTTTCCATACTGACAAAGCTAATATCAGCTATATATTGGGGTATGGACTATGGATTTTACTGGATGCAGATGAACCTGTGAGGCAGTTAAGTATGAATTAGCTTCCCTATATAATTTGGTTGCTAAAAATGGATGGAATATATTAATATCTATTTTCACTACAGTGTTAAATCCACCTACTTAGTGTTCTGCACATACACGATAACAAGCTGGTACACGTTATGTATGTGGCACACAGGCTGTAAGAGGAAGTGTGGTCTTGCTGTGTTATCGAGGAGCTGTTACGTGCTCATGTAATTAGAAGCTAAATTGGAATATACACAGCCATGAGGGGAAACCGCAGCGTGTCTCAGGTTTAAAACAACTACAATCATCATTATCATTGTTTTAAATGCAAGAATTTGACAAAGGCATCTATATATGGGTCCAGGCCATTGCTTCCCCTGCCTTTATTGCTGTTTTGCTCTTCTCTTGAACATGAGGAAGCCTCCATTTATATATCCTTGAGTGAGGTAACCAGCTCCAAAAGGGGAGTCAAAGGGTCAGAAAAAGAAAAGCACTTGCTGACTAACCATTCACAGGGGACTGACTGCTTAGATTTTTTTTGCTGGCCTTTCTAGAAATGCCTTCACTGTTGTTTTATAGAAAGCTATCCCAGAAGACACAAAAGGTAAGTTCTAAGGACATGGGCCACAACCTAATTTCATTTGCACATAGCTCCTCAGATCACAGTGAATTCAGCAACTGCATGTGGCCCAGGAGCAGCTACGTCCGCATGTCCTCTTTGCTCTAGTGAGGTAGCTCCTGTGTGTGCCCCAAATGAACGTTTCATTAATCTCTCTAGGCTTCGGGTCAAAAGAAGAACTGCAAACGAAACCGCTGGAGTCAAGATCCCAGGGGAACCCCAGTATGTATATCAGAATTAATTTCATAATTAAGCATTTTATTCATTAAACTTTACTGGAATGTTTTGAAACTAATTAACTAAAGATTAAGTTGTTAAGGAGCCTAAGTAACTTAAAGAATACATTTGCCTTCACAGAGAAATATCAGGTGTTCTCCAGCGGTCTTTCTCTTACAAATAATCACTTTTGGCTTCTACAAGGAAGGAAGTACATCTCAAATGTGGCATACCTGGACAGTGAGATGGTGGCTACCAACCATTACCTTGTCTGGGGCTCTATCATCTCCACATTCCCAGAGCACAGATTTTATACACAGGAGTATCAAAGGGGGTGTATGCCTAATTTACCACTTAGAAGTATTTTTTTCCCCCAAAGAATGTCAAATAGACCTAAAATTAATACAGAAATAAGGGCGGGGAGAAGAAAAGGAGAAGACTCTGCCATACAGATTCACTCTCGCTGAAGGAAAATTTAGTGCTTTATCACAGATCTGAGCAAATTATACAGCTGCAACTGAAGAGAAATGGGACGTGCCAATCCCCTCTAGGACCATAAGCTGTATTTCAGATCTCCTACAGATCTGGAAATATTTAGCTCCCTGCACAGCGTATCTAGCACATGATCTTTCAAAGCCCTGCTAATGCGTAATCACCGAAAAAAAAAAAACCTGCTGCATGAATTGCCCTTAGAAATTAAGTAAGTTTGTATATAACTTTGAGAAGGCATGTGAGCCTTTCCTTGCTCGATGCCTGTTGGCTAAGGAACTTCCACGTTATGTATATACATCACATGAGGGAGTTGCCCTCTTCAGGACAGGAAATTCAGGAGAGTTTGACGCTTAATTGAGTTATTATTTCTTGTGGGTTCCTGGCCTTGCCTCATGATCTGCTGTGAAAGAACACAGTTCTGGGTTGTGCTTTCATAATTCAGCACTATTAAAATTAGAAAAACAGACAGCCGCAGGAGGAAAAATAAGAAAGTAATGAGAGGGGAGGCAGTTGCATAAGGCAGCAAAAACAATCAGAGCTTTGTAGCCCTTGGGCTATCTAATGATCAGAACAGGCTATTTGGGACAGTCTGATTGCGAGGAAGTAACACCAGGGAAAAAATCAAGAGATGCATGAGCTAGAAGGGGAAAATGTTAATTAGCACTCTAGGTAAGCCGAATTTTGATCCTTTTCCTGGTCATAGTTCAGTCTACAAATGTCTTACCACTAACTCATAGACCACAGAAGCTAGAGAAAACAGACAAAAACTGCATAGATGCAGGCAAAATCTACCCCCGGCTTTGAAAAGATACCACACTCAATCTTTTCTTCCTCGGCCATCAGCCCCCAAAGTGCCCTTGGGAACAATTTCTAGCCCACAGCTTCACCAAGACCCAGCTTAGGCATCGTACGGGAGGGCACTTTGTAGCACGGGAGCGAACCTGAGCAAGCCTTGAATTTGCCAGCAAGCAGGACATGCTTTTGCCCTTGCTAAGGCTTTTTAGTAGAGCCTGCGTAGCAGGACAAGCTCCTGGACGAGGATGTTTCTAGAGCTTTGATCGTCACAAGAAGAAAAGCTGTCAGAAAGAAAAAAAACTCTTGCTGTGTTTGTGTGTTCTCATCTCAGCCTGCAAAGTCGATTTGTCCTTCTTAATCGATGGGAGCTGGAGCATCGGTAAGCGCCGCTTTCAGATCCAGAAACAGTTCCTCAGTAACGTGGCTGATGCCCTCGACGTCGGCAGTGCCGGTCCTCTGATGGGCATCGTTCAGTACGGGTAAGAACTTCCTAATACCAGCACCACTTCCTTCCAGGTAGGCAGCTTTCCAGGGAGGCCTTGGAAGGGAGGACATAGCTGAGGGCAAACCATCTGCTTTCCGACCTCTAGCACTGCCTAATGTTAAGCTTAATTTAAAATTACGCCTGCCACGGTTTTTTCAACACATGCTGTAACTAGCGCAAACACTAAGCACCCAAGCAAGAGGCGGCCTTGTGGGGCTATAAATTCAGCTCTGTTCCACTAGTGTCATAAACAGCAGTAACTGAATTCAGAGGTGCTTACTGCAGAAATAACACCCAAGACCTTACTACTGTGGCCTCGCTGGCTTATTCCCCCGTCGTGTGTACAGCATGGTGAGAGTGTGTTGTTAGTGCTGGCAGCATGAGTTAGGGCCTTCCAACAGGATGCTGTATTAGTGTGAGGCATGTGAGAAGACCGGCTCTCCCCCTCCCTGGGAAATAAAATAACAGTGTGCTGAAGTGCCGTATCCTGCCTTACCACTCACTGTCACACTCCCTGATTCAAGCAAGTAGCTTATCCCAGTCTGCCGCCTTCATGCATCCTTCTCCATCTTATTGCATGGCCTGTGGAAGCAGCCAGATGTTATCCAGGGTGATTCTGAAGGACATGCTACTCCAGTACTGTGGGATTACCTGTGTAGCTAAAATAGGATAGGTCACACTCCCCTTTTCTCCTAGGAGCCAGACACCACTGGGAGGATCTACAGGTATTATAATGTATGCAACGCAAAAAAACTGATGACTGCTTTTATTTCTTCTTTCAATCTGTCAGCAATGACCCTTCCACAGAATTTAACCTAAAAACTTACACAAACTCCAAGGATATAAGGAACGCCATTGAGAAAATCCCACAGAAAGGCGGACTTTCCAACGTGGGTACGTGTGGGGCTGCTTGCACGCGCGGGGGAGGCTTCTGAGCCTCAACTGAGGCGACTCCACGAGCACCTCCCGGGCAGCAGAGCCTGAACCGCACTGAGGGCAGAGCAGAGCAGAGCTCGAGGCTTGTGCAGCACCATGGCTGTGTCAGGCAGGGCCCTGCGCGTCCACCGCGAGGGAAGGAGCCGCCTTCCTCCTCAGCAGCAGGAGGCCCCTCCAGCCAAGGGCCCTTGCTGCCTGCCACAGCGCGAGCTGCAGCCACCACAGCGCAGGGAGGGGAGGCTCACGTGGGCACGCGGGTGCAGCAGGGTGGAGGAGCTCCTTGTACCCCTAAAAGTGCCTCCGTTTCCTGCTTGCACACCGAGATAAACTGCCTTACTGCTCCTACCCACTCTCTTCAGGGTGCCGATGCTTAAATCTTCCCTTTGCCTGATGTTTCACAAGGGGGTTTTCCCTATCTCCAGGATCAGATGAGCTCTGCCCTTCCTCTAACTCATCCTCCATCTCCCCTTCTCTTTCAGGGAGGGCACTTTCATTTGTTAACAAAAACTTCTTTTCGGATGCCAATGGGAACAGAGGCGGAGCACCAAACGTGGCAATAGTGATGGTGGACGGATGGCCCACGGACAAAGTGGAGGAGGCCTCCAGGCTGGCCCGAGAGTCAGGGATCAATATTTTCTTTGTCACTATTGAAGGAGCTGCTGAAAGCGAAAAACAGAATGTTATCGAACCAGACTTTGTGGACAAGGTACTCACAGGGCTGGGCTATGGCTGGAGGTCAGACTCCAACTCTGATTTTTCAAGCTCTTTCAAGCAGGGGTCACAGTTCTCACAGGAGACTCCCCTTTCCTTGATGCTTGTATCTATTTCTGCTTGCACTATCTTGAGGTTTCACGTGCGAAGCACCAGGGAGCAGGCAGCAGTGACTCCACACTCAGGTGGATGCACAGGATAACAAAACCAGACCATTAAAACCTATTTCACCTTGCAGAGGTGGTAGAGCCCTAGCAACAACAAAATTCTTAAAGAAGGCCTTCACAAACAGATTAACACCGATGGTGAGAAACGCTGCTGATAAATCTATTGAAGTAAAAAACACCAGTAGATTAGTACCAGGATATCCAGAATCTCTAAATCCACCCAAACCCTGCTCTGAGATCGTCAGACAGAAAACAAGAAAACAAAAGTTCTTAAACTTAAGTTGAAGCAAGATATGAGCATTTTGCCAAGCTGAAATGGTACTGTGCTGGCTTTTGGAGCCATATGGGGTTTGTGGTGACTTTTTTTGTTTTATTTCTAGGGCTACCATACATAACTAAAATCTGTCATGATATTCTGCAGCAAAGAGAAGGCCAAAGATGCTTTATATGGAGATATAGAGATAGATACACAGTTTTTTTAAAAAAAAAATTCAAGATGAAAGTGACTTCATTTTAACATGTGGGTTTTAACTTGTTGCTATTAAGCTCAGTGATTAGAAAAGACCAGATCTTTGGTTGTTATGATTCACCACATTTTAAACATAAGGATAAATCACTAGGCATAATCCAGTGGTCACACTAAGGGTTTTAATGAACTTTAAATAAAAGCGTAACATATGTTGGCAGTTTTAAGCATTTTGGCAGTGTTTTGCTAAAGGGTATCTCGACAGCAATTCCAAGAGGAGCCTCTAAGACCAGACATATTCATACTCGAGTTACAGGAAGCACCCATGCATATGAATGTTGGGACACTGAATAGAGGGATATCTCAATTCCGTAGCTACACTGAATAACTAACATTTTGTACCAGTGGCTGATCTGAAGCTATTAAGCTATTTTCTTCTGCTGTCATGTAACTCTTCAAAAAACATGCAAAAAGCTGCAGCGTGCATCCAGGAGGAGAAAGCCAGCCTTGAACTACCTGCACTAAACACTAGTGACGTGACAGCTGCCCACTTTAATAGCGCTTCAGGGCAAATTGGCACGAGGTTATGGAGGAACACATCGAGTGGCAGGCCAGCCTGGGTAGAGGAAGCAGTACGGAAGATATCCGGTGTTTGTGGAAAACAGATTCCTGTCTGAGCTACGTTGCTCTGCCATGAAATGCATTTTCGGAGAGCTTCAGAGCTGTCCAGAGAGCTTCACTGTCTCTGATCAGTGTTTGCTTGGTTTTAGTACTTTTTAACTGGGCAAAGCTATGGAGAGTCTCTGTGAGCTCCCAAAGCAAAACTAAGCATTTAGTATAAATCAAAATAGGAAAGCAAAGAGCGTTTGGTGACTTTATACAGCTGCAATATAACATTAAAAAGCAGCAAAACAGAAGAAAACAAATGAGAACAGGATTTGCCAAGAAATGCAAACTGATGGGAACCCCAGCTGGCTTACAGCTGTTGTACTTCATGTGAGTCAGGTAAAGGCATGGGGAAGTATAACAGCTCTAAGCTGGCTGGGAAGACGACAGTGCCTAGTTCCTTCATCTCACAGGCCTGTGCACAAGAAGTTGATAGAGAAAGCCTGGCTAAACAAAATATTCTCAGAGAAATGGGACATGAACAATTTAAAGGCACTAAAGCCAAGGACAATTTGCTCTAGCCTGTCCCTACCAGCTTGACTTCTCCCACTCACTTTTCTGTGCCACCCCTAATTCCCTACCACTATTCAGTTATAATAAAACAAATCAGTAAAATTTATTACGCAAAGCGAGCAAAACTGGGAGTCTTTATGGGCTTCCAGTATTTTCACCAAAATTTCTTGTTTTCTTTTTTTTTTCTGCTTAGAAACAAATGAGCCGGGAAGAACACCCCTTCAGGCCCAGGTTTTGGTTCAAGGTAGCAGGGTTTGCTGCTCCCATACCGAAAGGCTCCCAAAACGCCCACCACTAGTTGACACTAGTTCTGTGATTTGGATGCTTTTTCCAGGAACTATATAGCTTATTTATAAAAGCTTGACAGGAGGCAAACTTCCCCATAGCATTTCTTTCACTAGTGTAAGAACATCAGCTACCCTAGTTTGTAAACAAACAGCAGGAAAGACTGGCTCTTCACACAGGTGTCTGTGAGGTTGCATTGACGTCATTTCTAGGGGAAGCAGCTGGTAACTGGAGGAGAAGCCACTTCAGACTCCAGCATTCTCCTTTCCAGGACCCAAACTTAGTTTAACTAAAATCCTAGCTGAAACACATGCTCGGCATCTCCAGTACATTCCTCCTCGTGTCGTTTTGCAGGCCGTATGCAGAACAAATGGCTTCTACTCCATCAACGTGCCCAGCTGGTTCAGCCTGCACAAGGCGGTCCAGCCCTTGGTGAAGCGGGTCTGCGACACCGAGCGGCTGGTCTGCAGCAAGACGTGCCTCAACTCTGCCGACGTCGGCTTCGTCATCGACGGCTCCAGCAGCGTTGGCACCGGCAACTTCCGCACGGTGCTCCAGTTTGTGGCCAACATCAGCAAGGAGTTTGAGATCTCGGACACCGACACGCGCATCGGAGCTGTTCAGTACACGTACGAGCAACGGCTGGAGTTTGGCTTCGACAAGTACAGCTCCAAGCAAGACGTACTCAGTGCTATTAAGAGGATCAATTACTGGAGCGGAGGCACCAGCACGGGAGCAGCCATCAGCTACACCTTGGAGCACCTGTTCAACAAATCCAAACCCAACAAGAGGAAGATCATGATTCTCATCACCGACGGCAGGTCTTACGACGACGTCAGAGTGCCGGCCATGACAGCTCACCAGAACGGTAAGCTGGGGCTCTTCGTTGCCTGCTCTCTACCTCAGCATTTATCCAGCTCAGAGGATTTGAGTTTTCTGGGATTTGAAGGCAAAGGACAAAACTTTAGGCAGGAAGCATGGCACCTTGCAGTGTTGTCTAGTCAGGCGCTGAGCAAGACCAGAATCTCTTTAATAACTTAAAGAAAAATAAAAAAAGCAAAAACACCACCAATTACCTAGATTACATAGATTTAGCAATACGTATCTACTCCTAGGAGATCTTGGTGTATTCGTACTGCCTTACTAACACCTAAAGCCTCCCTTGGTTCTCCAGTTAGGCTGTTAATTCCTCTGCCTACCCTACCGCAAGACATCCACACTGAACGCTCACTCAGAAGCATGTTTATTACAGCCACTGTTATAAATTCTCTATTATTTAAAATTTTATATTACTGAAGGAAGCTCCAAAGAGCAGATTAGGCCTGTTTGAATTTGAAAATACCACTTCTGTAGGGAGAGAGAATGCTGCAATTCACTGCCCACATTTTTGTATCCTGGTAACTATACTTATGGTATCAGACTTCAGCAAATCAATATCAATGCAATGACTGTTTTTCATTACTCTCTAAACTCTGGATTTCTTTTCAGGGGTCATAGCTTATTCCATTGGAATTGCTTGGGCAGCCCAGGATGAACTGGAAGCCATTGCAACAGATCCCGATAAAGAACATTCCTTCTTTGTGGATGAATTTGACCACCTCTACCAATTTGTTAATCAGCTCATCCAAAACATTTGCACAGAATTTAATTCGCAGCCACGGAACTGACTGAATCAAGCAAAGCAGAATCCTTGGGCATAATGCTGAAGACACACAAAATGCTGTAGGTGTAATGCCAGCTCCAAGTCCAAGAAATACTGGAATTGTTATTCTCTGGCACTTTTCAGTTCGCAAGGTTGATTAAAAATGCATGAAATACTCCGTGTAAGCTGTTGATTTTTGTTTTCTTCTTGCAGGCTTCAGAAATGGATGGGTAGTAAAAAAAGGCAGTAAACTTTATGGAGGAGATGGCTGGAACTGTTTGAAAAGTTTCTTCCAGTATAAATAAACTACTGATTCTCATCTATGGGAACACGAATGCCCCTTAAAATGAACCACCTGAGCTGGTGTCTGGCCTCAGCCCTGGTCTGTAGGCCTTTCAGAGAGCCTCCACACTGCTGAGCTACCATGGCAGAAGCACCTCCACGTGACAATGCCCATAAGCTGCTCTCCAGGTCAGGACTGAAATTCCAGAGTTGTGGGTTTTTTTTTTGTTTTGTTTTGTTTTGTTTTTTTTTTTACTAAAATTTGAACACCTTCTTAGAAGAGGCCACTCTCCCTGTAGCTGTCTCACTGGCAAGTTAAGTTTCAGCTAATGTAAATTCAAGTGCTGAGATTTATCCAAACCCAGGGACTGGAAAACAGGTGAGAGGAAAGATTCAAGCTCCCACGTTATAGCTGTGGGACCCTACAAGCATTTATCAACCCCAATAAAGCCACAGATCTACAAAGCAGCCAACACATGGGAACTAGTAACTTAGTCTTCCCTCTCCTTTTTCCAACAGCCCTGCATTAAATTTGATTTTGGCAAGCAAACCTTTCGCCCTTGGCTCTCTCTTGCTCTGCCTTGTCAGGCAGCTCAAGCCCTGCAGTACAATGGCAGAGCTGCAAAGACGGAAGAGACTCTGGAGAAAAATCGTGGGTTTAAGTTGCTGACAATCCACAAGTGCTTGAGAACCACTGCTCTGTCATTACACCGTGGCCCAGATAGGTCAGATACAGTAGCAGTCAGTAACACAAAAAGAATTATTTAAGGGCCATTAGAAGGACTTTATGAGGAAAGAATCATAATGTTTTGTACTATTCGCTGGGAAAAAGCAAGATTTCTAGGATTTACAGACACTCTCTTCAGATTTTGGAACTCGCTTCTATGCAGATGGATTTCAAAATGCACCTTCCTTTGCTTGATTATGCACCTACCCTTTGCCCGTGATTATTTGAAACCCCCCCCTTGCTTCTAACGACGATAGTTACGTGCCAGGAGTGATACATTAAGAGGGTCAAAGAAATCACACTCTAATTAGGCAGCAGCAGTTGCTGGTTATGTTTCCATCCGCTGTATTTTAAGAAAATGTGTTCGTGAAGCAGAAGCTATGGAAGAGGAGGAAAGCAGCTTCAGAGCCAGTGAAAATGTGTGTGTTCATACGCCTTCTGGCTGTCAAAGCAATGCTGCTTCAGGCTTGTTGACCTAACGGGAAACTGAAACAAATTAAAGCTCAAATTTCACTCCTTACTCACAAATCTGGGTTTTAATAGGCTTATACTTTAATGAATAACCATGACCAAAGGATGTTTAATATCTATTCATATAAAAATGTTAATTAAAGCAAATTGCCACCACAGAAGATTCCTTTCTGTCAACAAAATTAGCACAAGCTTTCAAATCTTTGTGTCTGAAAATATGACTTCAGCAGTTTAGAGAAATCTGTGAAGTAAGCAAAAACCAAACTGAAGAGCACATGGTTCTACGTGGTCTCTGCAGTGTGCTGCCATAAGCCAAGCCAGGATCCTCCCTAGCGATGCTCCAGCTGTTACCAAAAACGCAGTTGGATGAAGCAACAGTTTTACACGGGGAAGATTCAGAGCTTCCCCTTTCAGAAGTGGTCCATTCCAGTTTAACTGAACACCTAAAATAAAGTAATGCTACCCACACAGAAGACACAGGTTACTGCGAGAGGAAAAAAAAAAAAAAAAGGAAAACTAAGACACATCAAATACGTACAATACGTACACAGAAGGTCCTTCTTTTTTAAAAACACTAATTTCTGCTGCAGCACTTCCACAGCAATAGCCTCATGGCTTGAAAAATAAAGGACAGACAATTATGTAGAATCAGAACAAGCCCCGTATTCCCACC